TCTTCCCCAGCGACACAGGCACCAGTGCTGCAAAAGCCCGGGCCTGTTCATAAATAAAATTAAAGTTTTTGCATAGAACTAAGTCTTTGTTCCAAGTTTTTGCATAGTTCCAGAGTGGAGGGGGCGTATTTTATGATCTTTCGAGCAGTTGCTGTGCATGTGAGGTGCCTCAAAATTCCCTCCATAGTGAAAGAGCGGTGGCTGTCGGGAAGTCGCCTGAGTGATAGCAAATGCCAACAGCAACCACCCGCTGCCAAGGCTTTCAGTGGCTCGTTGTTCTTAAGGTTGCTTACAGGCAAGCTGCTGGTGCATGAGCTGCTGCATGTACGGAGACCCATAAAGGTGTGCACAGTGACTTGTGTTCTAAAATTTAAACGAGTTTCAGGAGGGTTTGAGAGAAGGCGGTTGTATTGTTTTGAAGGACAATGTTGCGTCGTCGGAGGATGTGTACGATTTCGATGAGCAGGATAATAGCTGGACGCGTCCCCGCAGTGCTCTGTTGCGGCTTTTCAACAAAGCAGGCCTCAGTGTTGTTGCCGAGAGGAAACAAACTCATTTCCCCAAAGGGATGCTTCGTGTTTATATGTTTGCATTAAAGTGATTCTTTTGTTCGTCACTCATCGTTTTTTTCTGTTTTCGCTGTTCTGATTAAACAGTTCGATTCACCGCGTCATTGCTTTTCGCACGTTTCGCGTCATATGCGTGTTACGATACTCTTCACCAGCTGCACTTCCTCTCAGTCTGTTGTGGTTTGACCACTCGAAATTCCTATTCTCGGCATGATTTTATCCACTCAACTCTTTTTCTGTGTTTTTTTTTGTGAGGATGATGCTTTTTGCTCTTTTTTTTTTGTGTGAGGAAGAAGCTGGTTTCGTATGTGTGCATAGAAAAGCAAGGGAATTTAAGATGTCAATAGCGAATTTCTGAGGTATCGAAGCATTTAGATATTCGGCTGTACAAAAATCAAAAATCAGCGTGGAAGTGCGAGTTGTTGTTATTGGGTTTTTGAAGAAAAATGTTTAGATATGTAAGAACGGGAAAAATTGTGCAGGCAGCGAAACATGGGGGAGGAAGGGGTAAGAATAAAAATAATTGGCCAACGCACGGGCTGCCCGTGCGAAGATGCGTTTTTTGCATGGTTCCCCGCAATTTTTGTCGCTACCAGCATCGGTTTTTTCGGCAAATGCTTCAAGCTGAACAAATTAAGACTGGCCGCCAAAACTGTCAGGAAACATCCCTTCA